TAAGATCTTCCGAGAGGTATTGGCCTTCTGAGACGGTTTTTGCATCAAGGGCTTTAAGATACGTACCGTTGATGCAACATGTGTTTGTTGATTGTGTCCCCTCGGGAGTGCAGAGTCCAGTGTCAAGTGTCTAGCCTCTAGAAGTCTAGGGATGTTAGGGTTTCCAACCATCCCAAAAATCTGATTACATAATTGGAAACTACTGTATCATATTGGGGTAATATTGGGGTTTATACAGGGGTGATTTAAGGATAATTTTGGAAAAGATGATGGGGACCATTATATTATGTTGAGCCATAGTCATAGTCCTGCTTAGGAGCCCCTTGCAGCTTTAGCGTTGAAGAGACCTGGGGTGAGGAAGCTGATTGGTTCTTGGACAGGCTTCTGGTAACTCACCAGCGGCCCTTTTAAACGGCCCGTTTAAAGTAGGTTCATGAACTCCTGGAGAATAATCACAACTTCACCCTTCACAAGCCAGAAGATGTTCGCCTGGTTGATGGACCTGGACCCGAAGCTCTGATTCCAATTTCTTGCATGCTGCAAGAGGGAAAGAAAATGCCCCAGCCCTAAAGTCCCTCAGTGATGCCAGGGTCCTGCATAAGTCTCAGGCTATGGAGGCCATGTCATGTGCGTGCCCGGATCCAGATGCCAGATTGCTGGAGTCAAGGCCCAGCGTTTGGAAGTCTCAGGTCTTGAGATGTAGGCTTTTTGTGGGCATATGATGTACAACTTAGATTAAGGCCCAACCTTTGGGAGTATGAGGGATTGGAATTTCAGGAAGCATTTAGAGCATGTGAGAACCCTAAACCTAAACCCTCAAGAATAGAGTCAGGGCTCCGGGTACCATGGAACATCCTATAGTAGTTTCCATTTTCTTTTCCATTATCCCTATATGACCCGACCCTACAATTTCGAGTCAGGGCTCCGGGTAGCATGGTCTTAGGGCATCAATCTGGTGGACCGCTTCTTTTGGGGGGGGAAACGTGATGCATACATTTGGGGGAGGGAATAAGAGGGAGAGATTGGGATAATGGAAAAGAAAATGGAAGCTAGCTAGCTGTAGCGGTTCGGATTTAAGGATTAGGGTTATCAGGGGTTTCCCAAAAATTAGGGGTGCCTTTTTGGGGCGTGCCTACAATGAGGATGATAGTATGTTGGGCTCGATGGTTCCCCCCAATTTTCGGAAACTACCATTTAGGCGGCAGATGTTGTCCCAGGGCTAGGCGTTGTGTCCAGCTTGCTTTGGTAGGTCTAGACCTCTTTGTTTTGGCGTACTGTCTGGCTTTCAGGGATCCCATGACACCCAAGCATTGCTGCACTCTTAGAGCAGTACAGATTGAAACTTCTTTACCATGACCACTAAGCCAACTGCGGCAGCTTTCAGTGCAGCCCAAGTACAGGGAAAGTAAGTATTGCTGATTGTCCAGCAGATGATGCGTAGAATTGTGGGGCATCTGGGACCTTACAGATACAGATTTGGTTGGGTATGGCGATAGGGTGTCTTCGATTTTCAAGTATGTTCATGAAAATCTGGTATGCGTCATTTGGTCATTTGTGTGACTTTTTCAACTATCATTCTCATTGGCTGTTGACGCTGACATGTACTGGGTGAGATACCTGTGAACATGTTTTTTCTTGGCGCTGCTAGCTTCATTACGCAGACGTCGTCGTTCTTGTGTTGACTTTAGCCTAAAGCGTATATCCTAAATCCCATATCCTAAGCCATGCAGATTTAAATTTAGAATCCCATCGGTCGAGGCCTACCGCATGGGCCAGGAGAACATCATGGGCAGGCCAGCGAACTTGTTTACAGAGTTATGTAGGGCGATTTAGCGGTACCTAGGGATATACAATAGGGAATACAAAAGCAACTGAAAGCTACATCATAAACCGTTTTATCCACATCCGCACAGCGCTGTCTCAAGACCCCGTTGGGAAACTGCATTATTCGAAATCATGCAGGTTGTCATGGTTTTGCAGCCTGCGCAAGGTATCCTTTCCACTTGCATATGATGGGCCAAGTGGGCGGGAACTCCTTCTTTGAGGACTGCCTCGTACAGCACGCCTTCTTCCGGGCCTACACGGCAATTCAGCTTCCATTAACTTCCTTCTCGGAACCCAAGCTCTTAATTACTTTCTCGACCATCAACCCTCAAAAACGAAGCATGTCATCCTCAACTCCTGACGTGGCTGCTTTCCGAGCAAACGCAGTTCATGACTGGCCTTCATGCATGGGTGCTGTTCAAAGAGCCCAACCTTCTGTTCTTTTGGGACTTCTAATAAGCGGGTGAGAAGCCGCTTAATGGAGAATCGGTGCGGGTCCTATGGGAGTATGTTACACGTACAGCTTTTTATCTACATACAACTTCCACTGTAGTTTGTACGTGTGGGGCATGCATGGCATGCATTGATATCATAGGACTCCTTGATCCCTCTCTCTTAAAAACCTGGGATAACACCCCTCCCCCTCAAGCCTTGCATTGTTGGTATCATTCAGCTTCGCATAATCTGGGGAACGTGTGTTGGCAGCAGGAAGCTTGCTCAGCATCAGGGAACAGGATGTACTAATACATCATCAAATCAGAGCCTCCGAGCATGAGCCCACGACTTGGGTGCAGGGTCTAGGCTTTCAGGCAGCATCTCGCCCTTGCGTTTGGACTTCTTTCAAGCTTTGGCCTTGTTTGGATCCACGTGCTAACGAGAAGCTTATTGCAAATTGTCCTAAACCCGAAGCGCAGAATGGACAGTGTTGTGTAAAACCCAGCGCGCTGCTCCCATTACAGAGGTGCAACAGTCATCGTTTGACTATTGCTTGTCCTTGAAGTGACACGTGAGTGCTCTGATTCGGCGTGGGAGCTCGGAAACGGGCCTCACCGATGACAGCACCCTGTCACCCTCTCATGGAAAGCTTTGGTCAAAAGGTGTCTTCCTGGGTCGTAGCTTATCATGGCTTATCCCTGAAGAAGTGGAGCAGTGCTGCTGTCTAGCAAGCTTTTTTTGATTCCAGTTTCCATTTCATTCCCCATTCACAGTGCAGTTGATTCTTCACTAATTATGGGCGATTGCATATTTAGAGGTAAACCCTGAACTGGAACTCTGACCGCTGCAGAACGCCCAGGAGAGCTAGAAACGTAAGGGCAGACCTAAGCCTAAAAGCATATATGGAGCCACGCAGGTTTTCAGGGCCGGGCAACGCTAGTTAATGTAGACCCTGTTTTTGGAGGACCTGAATATTCGACTCCTGAGGATAAGCCTGATTCAGGGATAGGGGGATTTCAGTGAGTCTAGCCAATCAACTCGTGAAATGTCTTGATGTGTCATGTCTTTGCGCCCCCCGCTACACGCGCGGAACTTCAACAACTGCACAGGGGGAGCATTGTACTCTGCAATCCTGTTCCAGGTATCCACTTCGATAGACTCAGTCATTGGAAATCCCCTGCCATGGATGCTGTTGCTGCCCCTCTTGCCCCTGGCACTGCTAAAGTGGCCAAGGTGCACGGCACTTCAAATGCGAGGGTATCTCGCAATGCTGCCGTACCATTGTTGAACAAGATTTTCTTTTCCATCTAAATTTATAGTAGCTAAAGCAAACAAAAGCCCCAAACTCTTAAACTCCCTTTATAATCTATTCCCTTATGCCCCATATTACGCCAATATCACCCCTCTACAGCCTCCACATAACCCTTCATTACCCCTATCTTCCCTCATTCCCTGAGTCTAGAGTTGGACATCCCAATAGCGAGCCAGGTTGCCTATGATGTATCTGGCAGTGCCTACTACCTGGAAGACGGCGTTGAAGCTTGGACAGGGGCACCGTTTTAAGGTTTAGGGCTTGGGCTAGGGTTTAGGGTTTAGGCTTGGGAAAAAAGGGTTGGAAAGAAGCCTCCCGCCAAGAGTGATTCATAAGGAAGACTATACTGGCTGCTTTTCATTGGCCAGACGTTTTCGTCAGCCCCTTTTGAAGCTCGCTATTAGTGGTTAGTGCAGTGGAGCACATATGGCAGGGTTTGTACCAGCAACCCCTCCAAACATCAAATACTTGTTATCCCACGTAAAGGCACGCTCAGTCCTGCTCTACTTGGAGAAGGGACGTTGGAGGCTTGCAAGAAAAAGCAGATAGACGTCGAGTGAGTAGTCGGGCGGTCCCAGGCATGTTTGAGGATTTTATTAAATGGCGCACATGTATCCACGAGTTGGTCACAGTACTTGTCTACATTCAGATTTTGCGCTTTGGGGGCGGGCAATGTTCGAGAGAGAATCCCCTAAAGCGCTAAATCCAAAACTTGGTGTTGCACCTGGATGCCGCTTGAGTTCCTATGGCCTCAGCACTACCACGTCACCAAAACCCTAAGCTCCACGTAGTCCCTTTATACAAAGACTGCAGTCCTCTTAGGGCGCTTTTGGGGTTCCCTAGACGCTCTAGACCAATGCAGTGCAGAGCCCCAGGCCCCATAGTCCCCCTGCACAGGCCAGAGACCAGCTCTTTCGCCACAACTTCAGTTTAGGGTTTTGAACTTCAAGCTCCAAACCTGAACCCCCAAATCCCCAATCTGCTGCACACGCCTGAATTTCCAACCCGGAAAAGCCCTAATCTCTAAACTCTAAACCTTAGATCCGAAGCGAGGAAGAGGACAACCTCTTTGACTACAACTTGGCGGCTTTTATCCTCATCATCGACCAGCCCAACGACTACGGCGTGAGCTGACTGCAGCGACGGGCTAGGATGCAAGGGATTTGGGTGATCTTGCAATTCTGTGCCCCATTTGGAGACCTTGCACAAAATTCGTGCATACGTGGCAGACAGGTGCAGGCAGACCTGGCAAATTCAAGCATGTCCTACATATGCCGTAACTGCGGCATACCTCTACTTGCTAGGTTGCCCAGTGGCGTGAACCATGCATCCTGAACCCTACGTATGTATACTCCCACACCCCAAGGTCCCAAATCCACACCGCTAAGCCTTCTCTCCCTGCCCTAAACTCCGCATTCTTCCCAGGGAGGTGGCCAGAATGGCATCCGTATCCAGACCCAAGCAAGCCGCATTGTGCCCACCGATGCTACGGCTGTGGGGTGCCACGTCTGCTTGGCCCGCTTTTGTAGAGGGGGTCGGAACGACACAAGATTCCAGGGAAATTCTTCAGGATCTGGTATTGTTTGAACGGGGTCGAGATAACACCATTATTCGGGGTCGAAAAGTTAGAAAAAGGCAAACCATCATACTTAACTTAGGTTTGCTTTCAAAGCTTGAAGGGATTTCAATTCCAGAGCTGTGGCACCAGAGGCTTTACCCAGAAGGCCAGATCAGCGACGCCGAAAATCCAGAAACTGAGAGACCCCAGCTCCACATAAAGCGTTTACTCGGCAATGCGAAAACCTACGAGCCATCAATTCCTGCAGGGGGGGGGGGGGAAGTAGTCCAGAAAAGGCCTGGATTCTCTCTGGGCACTTGTTTTGGGGAGTCGGAATTCCCAGCACATTTGTTCAGCCGCCTAAATTTTCAATAGGGTTCCTGCAAAACTAGAAGACCCTGAACCTCAAGCCTTAAAGGTTTGAATTCTTCAGCTCAGGAACTAAAACACCTGCGCGCAAGGTAAACAAAGGTTGTCGTTCATCACCTCAAGCGACGTGTAGAAGTCGTCCCTTGTTACGTGTTTTTCTGACGGGCGGGTCTCCACAAGCTGCCTTTTGAAACGAATCACGATAGTTTTTGTAGTTAACCCTACTGAGCTAGCTTTGTCGTGTAAGGTTCTACTGCACCAACGCTTGGAATCGTTGGATTGGCAACTCTGCCAGCAGCTTGACAGCAATTTGGAGGGCTTCAAAGTTTATCGGGGCGACTGAAGGGGCTTCTACATGGAACCACGTGGTTTTGAGCGACGCGTCTCGGATGTGGTCCTGGTACTACGTAGGCCTTGAACCGCCCAAACCTCAAAATCCAATTCAACAGATGAAAGGCAGGCTCAAGCGCACCGCAGGTGGAGGCTTCTCTGGGTTCCACTTCCCGGCGGTGCCGTATGTGCTCGGCGACAGCTACTCGCAGAACCGGGTCCGACGGTTTGCTCAACTCAACTGCGTAAAGAAGAGAGTTTTGTTCGAGTTTGCATCAACTTGAGGTAGGTATTGACAAGGAGTAAGAGGTGACTGTATATGTCAGGGACGACATTTTGTTTGAATCAGAGTTGAGACAAACGCCACGCGGGCTTCTTCACTGCCCTGCAAATACCTTGTAGCCTTTCCTTGCCTACCACGATTGGAGCCATTGCAACACAACGCACGACAAGCTCTGTAACATCCACTTTAGATCATTCAGGGGTGAAGGCGAAGGGACGGATGTGCCAGTAGGCAGCTTTGATAAGCATTATCGGTATTTCAAAAAGAACTAGAGCAAGATGTTGCCAATTATTTCAGAAGTGCTGATCTGCTCTGCCAGCGACATGAGCTCATCCAGAACTTGGCTGACATGCACATTGTCAAGTTGCAAGCTACCCTGAGCCAGCGGGCATTAGCATCCGTAGGTCCGTGCAACCTGAGAGGGGAAGAATCATGGGCTGGGCAGTGCTCCATTTTCTCCCCACCGCCACAGGCACCACCAGCATCAGCACCAACAGCACAATCATTAATTTCTCAGCATTGTCATTTTGTATCGGTATGGTGCGGGAGGATTACCACCCAGATGAGAAAGAGCTGCTGGAGTTCGATTCGAACACCGCGCATTCTTCAGGCAGCTCCGTCGAACATGGCATATGCCCCATTCAGTTCCAAAGAGGTCAATTTTGACACAAGATACCAGCGGCTAGATTTTGAGGACGGGACAAAGGCGCAAGGCGCCTTCAACATAGGCAAGGCCATTGGGATGGAGGCCACACGGTACCATACATACTGTTTTACCATCCCTTTCATGATGGCATGCGGCCAACTTGACTCAAGCCAGCAAATAAGCCATCGAGGATCGCCTGTTCCATAGCTAAAGTGGCCTGCCCCACATAAGCGCGTTAATGACCTTTGTCCATGCCCCCCTTTGCCACGAGGTCATCCACAAGATGCCTGGGCAATGAAGGAAGCTAAGACCCTATTACCACCAGCAACAGGAATCACAGCAGCAATCATGCAAGATGACAGGTTGTCAAAATGCCCATGTGTATGAATTATCGCAGGAGTAAGAGGAAAGTAGGATGAAACCTCTCAAGGTTCATGTTAAGAACGCTGTGGATTTCATCGAGCAAGCGAATCTGCCAGAGTTTGGCATCAAGCCATGGCGAGTACGTGTAGTAGGTAAGATGCGAAGTAGCTGTTGCAAGAAGAGGACAACATGAACGACAGGACGACCGGCCAAGGCCTAATCCCCAAGGGTTGTTTCCAAAAACTATGGGCCCCTCTTGGTTATGGATTATATTACGGTACAAAGCTACTAAGATGGGACCCTTTTTGGGGAACTACCCCCAAGTTTGTTAGCGAAACTCCCTGACAGGAAGACTCTGGAGCCGGGGCGCCTGCATGTACGTAGGCGGCGAGCTCTGGGACATTTGGCCGCTACTATGGGGGGCAAAAGATTTATTAATGTTTTGGTTCCAGATTCCTCGTATGTCAGGGATTGTAACGAGGATCTCGCAACAGCCGGCAGGGTGGAGGGATGATTCTTCCTGGCAAATACCAGCAACATGCAACAATTGCAAGAAACTCCAAGACGGTTTGATATGGCTTTTCTGGGTCAGCGTAGGAGATACTTTATACTTTTGGGATACAAAGGATCCGTCCTTGTTCCTAGGAGAACATGGGCTAGGTTTTGTGGCATATGGAGGGAGACTCCGCAGCTTCACTGATGCCGCTCTTCAGGGTCGAGTTGGCTGCATTTGCCCGGGGGCCGAGGGTGGCGGTTCTGCACACTGGGTATGCGTTTATCGGGGCTGCGAAGCCCTTACCTTTGCATAATCCGCATCATGCAAGCAAAACATATGTAATCCTGCAATGATTCCTGAGAGCCCCCCAGGAGGACAACAAGGGCTCCCAGCAGTACCGATACATCAGCGGACGAGCCACTGCTCGCAAGGGCGGCCGTTTCATCATGACCAACACCAAGGCTAGGGTCTTGGATTTTGAGGTTTGGCGGTTTCGGCGCCAGAGTTCAGGGGGTACAGGACCAATTTAGGATTCAGGTTAGGGGGAACCACGAGGCCCAATCAGTAGCTGCAGAAGGGCTACGAAGAGCAGGAGTCCTCCTGCTATACCCCCAATCTGCTGCTGCAGGCAGGATCTGCGACAAAAGGATGTCCAATGTTGGGAAAACGAGCAGCCAGTACTCAGGGTGTCCAGCATGCTTATGACCAAGTTCTTCTGCCACTACTGACATTGAACTCCCAGGCATTGTTGCATTAGGGCCGCAGGCTTCGGATCTACGACAGTCCATGTTTAGGAGAGGCACGTCTCCGCTGCCTTTCTCAACTTGTAGACCTGCAATACCAAGCCGTGAGACCGGGTTGATTAAGTGACCTTTGCTGAGAATGTGGTTCCTTACACATGTTGTTTGGGTCGGTGTGTGCGTATTGGGGGGAGATGAAGATGAACCCCCCATCTCAGCTGCCAACGCCTGCGCGTGGCAGGTTTTCGCTTGCCGGAAGGGCTTCCTGTTCTGGGGTGCCACGGCTGACTAAGAGAAGGCACTGAACCACTGAACACTGGGGTTTGGAGTACAAGCGTTGCTGTGGCGCATGATTTGAGAACAGGAATGCGCCATGCACGAACTGCAGCGCTGGTGACGTCAATCTACACAAATAAGAAGGCCGGTAGTACTCATAAAGCAAAGTAGCACCAAGACACTGCAGCAGCAGTGGCACCCGTCATGCCAGCTGCGGCGACTACAACTACCACAGCCACTAGTTGCCATCACCACCACCTTTCAACCACCACCACAGGTAATGTTACAACAACCGCTGCTTAGCAGTGTTTGTTGTAGCATAGGCTACCATGATGGCACTCCAACTACTGTTACTATAATACTCCCACCGCCGTTACTATGATACGACTGTTGCTGATACTAATACTAGCCCCACTATTCTCAAAATGGTTACTACCATTGCTACACATTGCCATGGGGGCCCTTCCTGCGGCCCAGGCACCCATTACACAGCTCGGGAGCCGCATCTGGCTTTGGAAGGCCTGATTCCCACCCCTTGGGATTATGTTAGGGTTATATTAGGGTAATATTGGGGTTATATTGGGCTTATATTGGGATTATATGAGGGGTTATATCAGGGTAATATTGGCATTATATTCGGGTTGTAGTAGGGTTATATCGAGGTTATGTTAGCCTGAGTCGCTTCCAATAGTATACTAGATTATAGTATCTTGTATTCCAGCATATCATATTATAGCACACTGAATTTTTATCGTATACTGTAGCGTATTGTAGTAGCTTATGTTCCCATAAGCCTGCGAGCCGCTCCCCCTCGTAGCTCGAGGTGTTGGTATGAATTCCAGCGGGATGTAGGTGGAGTTTGCACAGTCTTCAGAGGCCTGGATGCAAAACGTCAATGGATTGATGTTGTTTGCCTGACGTCAGTTTCAGGTTCGATAATTTTCCCAGTGAAAATGAACAAGGAGGGAACGAAATTGCATGGAACTTACTTAATACCCGAGAAAGACCCCGGTCAAAGGCTAGCTTGCTTGTGTCATTGGCATTCTTACTTTCAATGGGCACGCCCCTGGCTTTATCGTGTTGTTGGTCTGGAGGACCACATGGTTGATCGATTGCGGTTTGTAATTCCCTCTGTAACCAACTGAAAGAAGGTTACGTAACCAGGAGAATCCTGTAAGCCCTCTCACAAAGTTCAAATTCACAAACCTCCCAAAATGCCATTTATCCGCTTCATTCCTTATTGCCCGTGGTGCAATCCTTGGCATTAATGTTACCGTGACATTAATAAATCCCCCCCCCCCGAACTTGTTTTGCGAGTTGGGCTTATGGAAGGGGGGGGTCGCAATAATGAATGTGGACATGGGTAGGACCGGGTAGTGCAGCTCGTAATACTAGTAGGACAAGTAGAAGGGAATCTATTAAGATCGGGACGTTTCCGGCCGGACAATAACATTATTGCCACCCCTTTATTATTGCCATTTGGACTTAAGTAGACCTTGTCGGGCTCAAAACTTGTTAGAAAGCAAATTTGATTGTACGGGA